ACCTTACAGAAACATATAAAATTATGAAGGGAAAAGAAAAGATAGAAGCAGGGTGGCTGTTTCCACTGGCGGGTGAAACTAGAACGAGAGGGCATTGCCTCAAAATGAAGGTGAGCAGATTTAGCAACGAGTCGAGGAGGAACTTCTTCACCCGAAGGGTTGTGAATCTGTGGAGTTTGCTGCCTAGTGAAGCAGTTGAGGCTACTTAGTTGAATATTTTTAAGGTAAGGATCGATAGATTTTTGAACAGTAAAGGAATTATGGATTATAGAGAGCGAGAGGTTAAATGGAACTGAGTCCATGAAAACATCAGCTGTGATCTTACTGAATAGTGGAGCAGGCTCAAGGGGCCACATGCTCCTATTTCTTATGTTCTATGTACAATTGATGCAAGAACAATTATGGAACGCACAGCCATTTTGAAATTAGAGAATTTCTTTGTTGTACTGCTTCCAGTCACAAACATTTTGTATTCAGCAATGGTCTCTCCACCTCGCTGCTTGAGGGCGGAATATTGGTCAGGACACTAAGAAAACTCCCAGCTCTTCTTCAAATCATGGAACTCAACAACCACTTGAACAGGTAGGTGGGAACTCAATTTAATATATGTCCAAAAGAGAATACGATAATCCAGCGGTCCCTCAGTATTGCACCGACATGTTAGTTTGGGTTACACACTGGGCTCTGTAAGAGGCTCGAATAAAAAAACTTTCTGTCTGAAAAGAAAATAGCTCTGCCACCGGGGTAAAGCTGACAATCATACTAACCACAAGATGTCTTTGAATGGGAAAGGGCCTATCAACAATTTTAATTCTAACCTTCCAGAACATTAAGCCAACCACCTTTCCATTACAACATCTAGTGGTTTCTGATATGAGCTCAATGTTTTGGCAATAAACAAAAGTCTACAGAAGTAATGACATGGCTTGTCATTCACAGCTCTGAACATGTGCATACTTAATCTCCTGCCTATAATATTTAAGCGCTTAACATCCTTTTGAACTCAGCAGCAAGTTGTAAAATTTCAGGTTATTACTTTTTTTCTGGATAATAGCTTTTGGTAAGCGTTCTGCTGTGGCCATTTAGCTCCAGACACATCTGCTATTTCTATACTTGTTCTGTTACTATCTCTTTATCCCTTGCCTATCGTCACCTTTGACATTTAATCTCTTTAACCATTGCTGACCTTCTCTGTTGTTCTTTCCTCCCATCTGTTTAAAAATGTTGAGTCTGTAATATTTTCCACCAAAGTTTTAGAGAATCGATCCAATCACTCAGTTTTGATCTGCTCCACTTTACCAGAACTATTTAGATATGAAAACATGATTTCACTTCAGTAAACGTGTGTTATTGGTAATGTTGAAAATCATTGACAAACAGGGCCCAGATCACCACAAACGCAGTTGAGACCTAGCCCTTGACCTCATTCTTTGACCTCTTTCACAGTGACATCCACTGCCCACCGGTGAAACACTGCCTAGCCACAAACAGTAATGATCCATCATGATAACTGTAGACACTCACAATTTACTCCTCACTCAATGCTTAAAATAAACTAACAGAATGGAAACATGCAGCCTCTGGTTAAACAGCGATACTACCTCCAGCCACAGGAGGCCTCAGAGCAGCTCCAACTGGGTCCCCAGCACGAGGATATTATCACCCCCAAGTGCTAAAATCAGGAAGCAAAAGGACCAATGCATCCACATACTTCCCACAGCCCTGCATTCAGGGTTCAACACTGCAGGTTCTGGTTCCCATTTCCTCAAGAAAAGCCCCATTTAAAAATAGCCTTTCTGTCCACTCACTGATACCCGGCACATTAATGCCGGACATGGCTGTAAGTTGTTGCAGCCTGTCTGCCAAGGATCTTCAGCCGCCCACCATCTTGAGAGCAAGGAGTCTATTTGTTACTAGGTCAGACTGCAAGCTCCGATGATCTTTCAGGACTGACAGCGAACATAAAAACACACTGCTTCCTGACCAGGAAATTATGCTGATAAAGTTGAGCTAATCAGCCATCGGCTATAAAGACTCATGTACAGTTTCTCTCACGCCTGTGACTTGCTCTCCTTGACTATAAAAGAGTAAAGAAATCTGCAGTCATAGGACAAGATGCTGCATCTTGATCACACTAAATAAGACCCCACCAGAAAGAGGTGACTAACTCTTACCTCAAGCCATGGTGATGGACAATCTGTCCCTTGATGGAGACATAGGGAAAAGCAGCTACACTTTTGGTCGACCTACAAAGCATGGGTAAGCATCAATCTAACCCTTAGGGCCACGGTGTCAGCACGTTATTGTCTGCTTGTGAAACACGGATGACTTACAGCTATCCAAAAAAAAAGAGAAACTCAGTAATTTCCATCTTTGCTGCCTGTGGCACATTGTGGGTACATTTTGGTCAGACAAAATCAGGAATGCTGGAGTTCTCTCAAATGCAGGACTCCCAAGACCACAAGCACTCAGTCGAGGTGACTTTGTTTACTCTTGGGCGCGTTCACGGGATGAAAGTATGCAAATTCTGTATGGTGAGGTACTGGAGCCACACATCCTGGAGGTTGGTCAAAGATCCCTTCAAAGATGCTTGCAAGCATGACATGAAGGCCCTAGTCATGAATGATCACATATCTGGGGGTTGCTAGCTGAACACGCAAGAGATTTCCACCTCCTCTAGGCAAGCTTGTACCACCACAATGACTTACGGCCACAGCTGCTTGGAAGACGCATCAACACTGAAAACAACACACGACACCACTTGAAAGCTTCAGGTACAGCACTTATGGCAAATGTGCACCCTTCGAAAAGGGGGTGGCTAACAACTTTGTAGATGGAAAGGTGCTGATAATGATTTCACTTTCAATACAATGTCCTTGCACCTTGACACAATAGGCAAGCAGTTTTCTTTCAACAGCGCAAAGCAAACGCTCGTGAATTTTAAACCACAGGGTGTCTGCAGTCAACGAGTAAACTACGTCACCTAGTGGTAGAAATCTTAGTGCAGCAATGGGCTGACTGATGGAGCCAGGAAGATGCTTAGTATTATTAAGTCAATGACACAACCAAATAAAGGTGCACCAGACTGAAAATCCACAATGGATTATAATGTGGAAAATAAAATTTATTGAAAGCATCAACTTTGTCAGGCAGCAGCAGAACACAAAAGGGGGAAAAGAAAACTATTTTCAAGGATTCCACAACTGCTATTTCAAGTGACCTCTGTTGCAAACTGCAGCTCTTTAGGTGATGGGCTCCTACCAAATCAGCCTGGTCTGCAAATTGCTTTCATAACTGAATAGCTCAACTGCACTCTCAGTCTAAGCTCACAGATGACAAATGACTACTGAGGAATAATATACAGCACAGAAACAGGCCATTTGACCTGACTTGGCTAGGCCTTCCTTCCGATTCCATCTCAGTCTGTGAGCTCACTTTTTAATCCCTTCTCTCTCACGCACACATCTACGTTTATCCACTACTCAACAGCAACAGATAGCAGAATGGAGAGAACTACTTTCACACAACCTTACCATCCAGTTTGCATTATCAGGATCACTGCTTTAAACATTAGAAGTATGTTATTAGACTGCATAATATAGAAGCATAGCTTCCTTTATTGGATAGAAAATATTAAAACTCTCATTATTTCCTTCAAAAATGTCTCAAGGCAGAGCCATCTATTTGGATCTGTGCTCATTTCTTGTTTCTTGAGTGCCTCCGAACCCAATCCCACTTTGACGCATACCCAAACCCTTTCAAATATTCCTTCTTCACCACCTTCCCTGCCCCACACACCAAGCTGTAACCTAAACACCTTTTAAGGATTTTCAACAATGGCTCATGGCAAAGCTACTAGGCTTTAGAACTTTGCAGATGGAGGGATCTTATGGATTTTACCCCCAAGAAATCATGCACTTACTTGATCTGTACCCTCTTATGTATTGCTTGTCAAAGCACACAAGCAAATTAATCATTTGCTAATTGTGAAAATCTCATTAGGTCATCGCTCTCTTTTCTCAGCTCCCATGTCCTAACTTACATCAATTTTCATAAAACAGCATTCTAGTTAATCTACTCTGAACTGCACCCATTACTTCTCTAATGGGTTTCCCAAAATTGCTGGAAACAAGCCAACAGAGAACAAGATCAGTCTTGATGCCACCACACTCCACCCCCACCACCCCACCAATTTTCGTATTCCATGCTTCTCGATCCACCTCTATTTGCACTGTCACCTTAAATGACGAACACGATCCCCCTCTGCTCCTTTTAAAATATATTACTTCCAAGTGCAGTATATTTCATATGTATACCAAAACTGGTCTCTCAATCCTGTCAGCCTGTTACACAAGTGTTTTGCAAGCTTCCTCACAATTTAGTACAACTCTCATCAACTTAGCTCCAAAGAAAATCCTACTTTGCTCTCTCAATGCCTAAGCCCCGATAACAGACATATGGAGTTAATAAGTGCAGTAGCATTACAGATGCCGTCACCATCCTTTTACCATTACCCTTTCCACAACGCATCTCTCTTTCCATCCGAATGGTTATATCCCCCTCAAGTCCATGTGCCTCTTATGACCCTCATTGCTTGACTCATGGGTGGAATCAGATCAAACATTATTCTTACACAGCCGGTAATTCTAATACCCCCTTTAACCAAGCAAATGGGTAATAACCTGAAGCTGAAATGATATGCAGTGTGCAGCTTTCCAAGAGGCATAGCGGCAGCAATACCTGTGTGCAAAAGTGACAAAATACTCAGCCTAGACCAAAACGCCAATGAAATAAACTTGGGATGTTGGAATCGAACTGGCAATTGTACTTGATTATAATTTCTAAGATTTTGCAGGGTTGGGAGCCCTGGCAAGAATTAACTCAGCTTTCAATAGTGAAAGGATAAATGTATAAAGTGCGCCAGTCAGCCTGTGTACCTGAGAGCCCCTCTCCCCACACCCCCTCAGTAAGTACAGTCAAAGACACACACTTACACTTACCCCGGTGGAAGTTGTGACTCGTGTATTCCGACCAGCCTCACCCAAACCTGCCATCACCTGCTGCACTGATTGCTGTAACAATATGGAAAGGAAACATCATCGGGACGACACTGCAGCACTCGTGTGGATGTAACCCACACCAAAAATCAGTGTCTGTTTACAGGGAACACACGTACACATGTAACAGAAAAAAAAACCCGACACACCCTTTGTGGGCGTGCATGCATTTGCAGTTACTAGGGAGCCTTCCTAAAAGCAAGCGCGGCTACAAGATGAACGCGGGATAACTTCCACCATACCAGCTTGCATAAGATGATTATTTAAATGCAGGCTTGGCTACTATCTGACCGTGCAACATACAATGTAACACACTGCGAAAACCTGATGACATTGGTGGGCATGTCAAGGCTTCATACTACTGGAAGATCTTGTGCAGTGCTGCTCACTGGTTTAGAATGAGAGCAGTGTTAATAGAGCCTGACAGTGAACACATGGCACTTAGAAGTGTGTTGTACGCAAGACTTTTAAATGTGCGCAGCTGAATTGTGGGAAAATGTCTAAGTAACAAGCAACGATTCTGCCCTCTCAAACCTGCTTATAAATAACAAGAAACATTGCTAGGCTGAATTGCTGCAAATTACAGGCACATTGAAGACTTAGATAAACTACCACTCAAAACGTTATGTGAAGCATGTTAGAGCTGGTTGGCTCCGGTACTGCTACTAACACACAACTAGCTTTGTAACAACATGCATCAAGTCTGATCTCTGGGAATGAAAATGTACACAACAATTAAAGCAGCGCAGTTTAGCAACCGGTATATCCAGGCCATAATAAGATCACTGCAGAATAGGAGGAATGAGATTCTCTTGGGGTGATACAGCTTGAATATACAGTCTGGGGAAACTCCAGAAAGGGAAGGCCTGCTCCTGTTCAGCCTTCAACTCGCGTTCCCTGTGCTGCATCCCAACTAGGTTGTTTCCCAAAACCCACGACCCCTTAGTAACTTGGATTTACAACCTGTAACCCCTTCCCCCGCTACAAAAAGCAACTTCATCCAACCTATGTGATGACACCTATCAGCCATCTCTGTCCTACTTTCTAGTCTTATTCCCATAATGCCTTGCCTCCCTCTCCTTTTAAATGAAAGGCCTGTTGAAATTTTTGCCCAGATTTTTGGCCATGCCTGCTGGCATCTATTTTGCTACACCCACTATTCATAAAGAGCCATTTAAGAGGAGCTTGACTGAGTGCAAATATCTCTTGCTGATAATGTCAAAGGTGGAGAGATGGGCCCTCAGACATACCCTCAGGCTGCTTTCAGCATCAGGGAGGTACTTGGCATTATTTTGGAAAGAGGTACACATGCTAAGAGCCTGCAACAGTTAGGAAGCAGAAAGCCTGACATGCCACCTTAGGTTAAGATAACTTTTTTTTGGGAAGGGAGGGAAGGAGGCAGGTGTGGGGGGCAGCGTAGCGGGGAGGGGGGCTCATCCTGCCTCTAACCAAGTGGCTCCACTCGCTGCCTTTACTCTCAAGTTCTCCACCACTGACCTGTATCTGCTGAGGGTCTAGAAGGTTGACTGGCAAATTGAAGGTGCCCACCATCACATAACTGTTGGCATTCCTGTCGTGGGGTCCAGCTGAAGTCCCTCGCCCGCCTCCTGGGTGGGGCATGGAAGAGCCTGCCGAGGAAAGACCTCCTGACGCTGCCTGTGCCTGCGGTGGAGCACGCTCGACCAAGTGGATGACTTTGTGGTGGACATCTGAGAAGAAGCCGTAAGCGAAGAAAGTTAAAACACAGCAGCAAGAGATACGCGACGTCTGCTTTCGTCGTTTAATTTCAGTCCCATTGACAGATGGAAAAGAGAGGAATTATGATAGAAATCTTTCCACTTAGGTGGCTAATACTGATACCTCTGCCACAATAGAAACGCTTCATAAATCCCAAAAGGTCTCCCCCCGGAAACTGCATAGTCCCAAAGGTGTTGATTAACATCTATTATCATAACAAAACTGGCTGCTATTTCAGTTCAGGCCCAGAAACAGCACAGGTTGTTTTATTCAATGTAATCCACAATTGATTTTGATATCATTAACAAAGTAAAAGGTCACAAGGAGCTTTAAATTTTAAACAGAATTTGACATTTAGCTATGGAAGGAGATGTCAGGTGGTAAAAAGCTGGGTCGGTGGGGGGAGAAGAGAGAGTACGCATGCGAAAGAGAGATCGAGAAGGGCTGGAGGGGATGGGGATAAGGGACAGAGGGGAGAGGGAGGGGGTGGGAGAGGATTAGGAATGGAATACCAGGGTCTAAAGCTCAGGGTAGTTAAAAGTACAGCCAACAAGTGAGTGATGGAAATCAAAGCAGTACATAAGGTCAGAATTCGAGCCATTAGGCTGACAGAGCCACAGAAGTAGCTTACTTTTAGGAAAGGTAGTACATGATATAGCTGAGGCAAAAGCAACACAGGGAGGTCGACACCCTGCTGATTTAGAGAACGTAATTACGATGACAACAGGTAGATCGTCCCAGCGTTCCCCATCCTTCAACGTATAAAATCAGTGGAGAAAACGGAACTTGGGGCCTGAATCTATTTCCTCTAATGTAAAGTTGAGCCAGTAAACAACTGGAGGCAACTGAAATCTGTCATAAGACCCAGTCTTGCAGTTTTAAAAGACATTCGAAATTAAGTTCATGTGGAGAAACGAGGTATTGTCACAATACATAAACCTCCCACCATTTCAACTTTAACGTCAATAGGCTAAAATGAAGGCAGACAGGAGGAGGTTCTTATAGAACGTTATTGCCAGTACAAACTTGTTGACCGTGTTGTTAACAGAGTGTCATGATTAATACTGCTTTAGGAGGGATTAGTTGTTAGCCATCTCAGCACAGACTTGTCTCCGACAGTGCTTGCCAATCAGTAGGGCAGCGGGAGACTACAAAGGTCAGCAGCATTTTGCTGATAACATGTCTCCTGTATTCCTGGGACACACAATCCATTTTAATCACTTCCTCCTCTCCAGGGAGATAGCTTTACCTTCATAAAACAGTTTGGGAGGTCACACTATCTGTCGCTGTCTGTGTTAATTTGAAGTCCCATTACCAAAGTCTAGCAAACGTTTGCCTTTCAAGTGTTTAAATCTACTTCTTTTTGCATGTTACCCTCAAATCTGCTTCACCACCTATTCAGGCAATGTATTCCTGATCACAATAACTACGGAGTCGAATATTTTTTCATGTCACCTCTAGCTCTTCTGCTAATTATCTTAAATCTGAGCCCTCTGGTTACCGTCTGCTACTGGGAACAGATTTTCCTTATTTATGCCGAGTAAGTTCGAAGGTAAAGGTTAATCTTCAAATGGGCACACATTTGCAAAGTTCTTTGACTTTTTACGATTTTACTAGCAAACGTTAATGTTGCTGAGCATGTCGTCCATCAGTAGAGATCTTGTCAACGTATTTGGCCTTAACGGGTTTGCAAAATTCCTGCTCTCCTAATGCAAAAACTGTCTACATTTCCACTTTTAAGACTAACTGGAACTAACTAACAGCCTATTTTTGATCTATATTTCATTTACTAATGGTCACAAAAAGAACCACGCAGCATGATTCAGTGATATTGAGGGGACTGGGCCTGTATTCTCTAGAGCTTAGAAAAATAAGTGGTTATCTCAATAAAGCATATAGAAAATTCTTAGTAGGGTCGACCGGATAGATGCAGGAAGGACTTGGAGACAGTAAGGACTGCAGATGCTGAAAGCTACACTCAATAAATGTGGAGCTAACGAAGCACAGCAGGTCAGACAGCAGTCGTGCAGCAGGAAAGTCAATGTTTTGAGCTGAAAGCCTTTGTCAGTGTCATCAGGATCCTGGCGAAGAGTTTCAGCCTGAAACGTTGACTTTCCTGCTCCTCGGGTGTTGTGTGACCGGCTGTGCTTTTCCAGATGCAGGAAGGACGTTTCTTCAGGCTGGGGTAGTCTAGAACCAGAGGGCAGGTACAGAATAAGAGGCAGGCCATTTAAGACAGAGATGAGGATGAATTTCTTCACTTGGAGGGTGGTGAATCTCTAGAATTCTCTTCCTCAGAGGGCTCTGGAGGGCCAGATACCGAGTATACCCAAAACACAGATCAATAGATGTCTAGATATTAAAGATTACAGGAGATATGGGGAGAGTGCAGGGCATGTGATGTTGAGGCAGAATATCAGCTACAAACAGGCTAAATGGCGAAGGCAGCTCAATGAACTGAGTGGCTTCTGTCTCTCCTATGCTTCTATAAGGTAGAGGGAAGGTTGAGCACCTAAAATGAAGGTGAATACCGAGATTAATACTTGCCATAATCTTTAAGCTTCTTGTCATCTTGCAGAACTCGGCCCTGATAAATGAGCCTCTGCTTGTCGGGTGGGATATTTACAGAGCTGGAGATGTGTTCTTTGAATTCTTTGACTGTGAGCTGAAAGAGAATAAACACCAGCTCAAAATGGGCAGCAACAAATGACAACTTGAGCAGAACGCCTTCAAAAGTTCAGCACAAAAGCAAGACAGAAAACAATGTGAGCAAAACAGTAGAGTGCAGGTTTACAGCTAAGGTATCAGAGAGGTTCTAAATCTCACCAGTGTTGCTACAAGGGTCTGCTGAAAAAAAAAGCCCAGTAATTTCCACAGAAAAAAACTGAAGGAGAGAGAGCATGCTTGTATCGTCGTAAAATGATTCACAACACAGTTCAAAATGAATAGGAAAGCTGGAAAGGGAGGTGACATATCAGGACTGCTTCCAGAAAGGATTATAAGGTTAGAAAGACATCCTTTAGGGGGCAGGGACAGGTTTCATTTGGTTCCTGTTGAGAAGCAAAAAGAGAATGATTATACTTCTGGGAGCATTCCATTGTATAAATTCAATTTTTGTTTTTACTTTTCTGCATTTTTTTTTATCGTGGACTAAAATGAGAAAAGATCTGTTTTCAAAACCAAGGATGGTTGATGGACGTTGCATTTTAAGAAAGCAAGCAATCCAACACTCTTTTTAAGTACGGTTCCCACAGCTGCTGGTTCAATGGGAGGTGGTGGAATGGTGGTAATGCCATTAGACTAGCACTCCAGAATCTCAGACCAATGTCCTGGGGGCATAGGTTTGAAACTCACCATGACGATAAAAATTCTGGGATTAAAAACTAGCCTAATATATTCATTTTTAACTGTTGTAAAGACTCATCTGGTTCACAGATGTCCTTCAGGGAAGGAAATCTGTCATCCTTACCTGGTTTGGTCTACATGTGGCTGCAGATTCACAGCAATGTGGTTGACTTTTAACTGTCCTCTGGGCAATTAGGAATGGGCAATAAATGCTGGCCTAGCCAGAGACACCCAGATCCAATGAATAAAAAACTGCAGCAGTCGAGAGTATGCAGATAATCTGGAGCCAAGTTCTACGTACGAATGGAAATTCAGCCAGCAATAAGCAGCTGATTGGTCTCCGGGTCATAGTCCAGTTATCTTCTGCCAGCCAACAAATATGTGATTGGTTCCTAAGTAGCTGAACAGCTAGTGGTTGTGTTCAAAATAGGGAGAAGCCTTCATACCACCACAAGCTCAGGAGCTATCTCCATTCCCTGGAGTTAAAAAGCACAAAGATTGAAGAAAACCAGATTATTTTTCTTTCGGGGTATGGGGGCTGTAGGTTATGACTTACCTTTCATAAATGTGAACCAGTCAAGTTATACCAAAAAAAGCATCTGGAGAAGGAAGATTGCGAAGCAGCATTGTGACCAGCACAAGGATCATCTCAGAAAATCGTGTGAACTACTGAACTACCATCTTAATCTTTCCCTCCACCCATAAAATCCATACTTTTTGTCCTGTATGTGTGTAGAGGAGGCGTTTATAAAGATTAGAGTTTTAACGATCAGAATTAAATGCCAATGTTTCATAATTATTTATCTGTCGTTAGAATTTAAGTAATTATTCTTGTTAAGTATAGGAACCTAGTGCATCCTTTCTGTCAACCTGGAAGGAAAGGGTAGGAAAATTGAGGAATTCTGTGTGGTGATACTGGGGGACTTTAATTATCCATATATTGATTGGTATAGTGTTACAGTAAACAGTAAGAATAGGAAAAAAATTCTGTATTGTGTTCAAAAGGACTTCCTTTACCAGTACGCTCTTGGTCCTACTGGGAAAGAGGCATTGCTGGATCGGGTGCTGGGAATGAAATGGACAAAGTATCTGTGGGGAACACACGGGTGCTCATTGTATCAGAATGTTTAGATTAGCAATGAAGAAGAGTGAAGACCAATCTACAGCACAACTTGCAAATTGGAAGAGGGCTAATTTAATGGGATGTAGTCAGGACAAAATGGATCCAAAGACTGACAGGAAAAATTATAATGGGTAATCTTTAAGGAGAGTTTAAGGCACAGGCTAGATACAATCCAACAAGCATTCAAAGCAAGGGCTCACTGGATGACAAAAAAAGAGAACAGGTGTCAGAACATATTCTTAGCACAGTCAGCAAAGCATATGGGACCTTGTGCTTCCTAAATAGAGGCAGTGAGTACAAAAGAAAGGCAGTTATGCTGAACCCAAAGTACTGTCTAGTTCTGCTCACCACACTTTAGGAAGGATGTGACAGCCCTGGAGAGATATACAGAAGAGATTTACTGCAATGGTTGAATGGGATGAGGAATTTTAACGAGGTTAGTTTGGAAAATATGAGGTTGTTTAACTTGGAGCAAAGAAAATTGAGGAGATTTGATAGTGGTGTACAAGATTACGTCTACTTTGTCTAAACCATCGAAGAAAAGCTGGTCATAATAGCTGATGATACAGGGATTGGGGCGCTCACGTTTAAATTTTAGGGGTTGCGGAGTGGGACTGAGTGGGATATAAGCAAGAACTTTACTCAGCAAGCTATAACAATCACTGCCTGGGGCTGGTGGAAGAGGGGACGATGAATGATTTCAAAAGAATTTGGATAGGTGCTTGAGGAAAATAAACTTACAGGGCTACCGCGAGGGGAATGAGACTAACTGATTTGCTCTTTCAAGAGGTGGCGAGGACTCAGTGGGCTGAATGCCTACCCTCTACACCATAATGTCTGTGTGACTAAACGACCATTCAGTCCCTCATGCTTCTGTTAGGTCTTTGGGAAAGACACAAATAAGTAACGAAGTAGGAACTTTAGCACAAAGAATCTTCTCAGTGAGATGATAAATGCAGAGCAACTGGATAAGTGAGTCAGTTTTTTGAAATAGCTGGGATCCTGATAGGAAAGCCGAGAAAGCAGGTAACAAAGGAATGCCTTTGACCTTCTATAGATACAGCCAGTACTCACCTCTTCTTCAACTGTATAGGTCCTGCTCTGGGAGTCCAGAGTCTTCACTGTAACTTCTGTCGTGGCCATGTCTGGCATTTAGCTCTCCTCTGCAACAGAACAGATTGCTCATCACTGACATGGTTACTGTATAGAAGAACTAATTTCAAAAACTGAATGCAATTGATGGAAATGAATGACATGCCGACACAATGGGCCTCCTTCTACCCAGAAACACAGCACAATTTCTCACCGACGTGAGCAGAAAACAACAGAAGAATATCCAGTATAAATAAAAGCAAAGCACTGCGAATGCTGGAGATCTGGGATAAAAATGAAACACTTGAGAAACTCAGCAGCATTGATGCAGATGAACAGAGTTAATGTTTTGAGTCCAACATGACTGGGTCTATTCAACACAATTCAAAAAATGTGAACTTTGCTACATGCATCTTGCTTAGGACACTTAAAACATTACTTTAACTATGATACCAGCACTTATATGGCAGGATTCCCACAACTCAACAAGGACAGGCACATTGACACACCAGAGTCATCAGGGAAGAAAATCTAAATTGAATGGCCAGGAAAGAACAAAGACATTTGAGGTTTAAACTAGAGTGTTTTTGATGCTAACTGCCTGCAAGGACCAAATATATATGAATGCTTCAGCATATGGCATATGCCTCACAACAGTACTGAAGACGTGTGCTCCAGAACTTGCCACATCCCTAGCCAAGTTGGTCCAGTATAGCTACAACATTGGCATTGATCTGACAATGTGGAGAATTGCCCAATTATGTCCTGTACACAAAAAGCAAGACAGATCCAATCTGTCCAATTACCATCCCATCAGTCAACTCTTGTCATCAGTAAAGATGTCACCAATGGTAGTATCAGGCAGCACTTGCTTTGCAATAATCTGCTTACGCACGCTCAGCTTGTTTCTGTCAGGGCCATTCAGCTCTCAGCCTCATGACACTCTTGTTCTAAACGTGGACAACACAGCTGAGCTCCAGAGGTGAGGTGACAGCGACCACCCCAGACATCAAAGCTATATTTAACTAAGCGTTAAATCAAGGAGCGCAAGCAAAACTAGAGTCAATGGGAATCGGGTGGAAAGCTCCCTGCTGGTTGGAATCATACACGACACAAAAGAAGATAACTGTGATTGCTGGAAGTCAGTCATCTCAGCTGCAGGACATCTCTGCAAGAGTTCCTCAGGGCAGTGTCCTAGGCCCAACTATCTTCAGCATCTTCCCTCCATCATAAGGTCAGAAATGAGGATGTTCGCTGATAACTGAACAATGTGTAGCACCATTCAGAACTCCTCAGACATTGAAGTAGTCTACACTCAAATTCAGCAAGACCTGGACAGTGTCCAGGCTGACGAATGCCAAGTAACATTCACACCACACAAGCGCCTGGCAACGATCATCACCAACAAGAGAAAATCCAACCATCACCTCATGACATTCAATGGCATTACCATCAATGAATCCCCTAATATCAACAACCTGGGGTTACCATTCACCAGAATTTCGCTATAGATAAAAATTGCCACTACAAGAGCAAGTCAGAGGCGTTCACAGATAACACAATGTGGAGCTGGAGGAACACAGCAGGCCAGGCAGCATCAGCGGAGCAGGAAAGTTGACGTTTCGGTTCGGGACCCTTCTTCAGAAGAAAGATCCTGACTCGAAACGTCAACTTTCCTGCTCCTCTGATGCTGCCTGGCTTGCTGTGTTCCTCCAGCTCCACACTGTGTTATCTCTGACTCCAGCATCGGCAGTTCTTACTATCTCATACAGCTCATAGGGTGCTTAGGCAGAGTGAGACATACAAGTTACATTGCACAGGAGGTGCACAAAGCAAGATAAACATTATTTGAAGTTAGGGAGTCCATTCATAAGTCTAATAATGGCAGTGAAGAAGCTGTTCATCGAGATATCTACCCGAATAGGAGAATGGTTGACTTGGCCACCCTCAAAACCAAAAGCCAAATTTTCTTGTGAATCATTGTCATGACCGGAAGCAGGCCTTTGAATACGTGACCCACGTTGCTGCGGCACAGCTGCAGGCAACATTTTCTAATTCCACCCGTTTGAACTAAATAACCTCAACATACTTCTGACTGTTAGGCATCGAGAATGCTGTCCTCTGTACAGAATTCCATGTTCATTCCCTGCAATCCACTGTGTAGTTCAGGTCCCACAAAGGTTAATGCTTTCCTACACCCAGTAAGGCACATAATTACGCAGGAGTTATGCAGCACAGAAACAGAACAGGTTTGAGCCATAGTTTATACTCCATTACAACATCTTACCATCTTTGATCATCTAAATCTACCACTGTAACCCACTAATCCTTTCTCCCTCAAATACTGGTCCAGTTTCATCTTAAATATTGTTCATTTCAACCATTCATATTCTCATCACGCTTTGGGTAAAAATGTTCCTTCCTGGTTGAATTTCTTGGTCACTATCTTATCTTGAGGATTTCTGGTCATACTCTTCTCCATAAGAGGAAACGAGATGCCTATCAATCCTTTACTGATAAGTATGCCACCCTGGATGTTAAAGGGGGCCATACAATCTCTTAGCAGGGAGGCAGCGGTGAATTGATAAGGTCACTGGATTAGCAATCACGAAGGCCCAACCTGATGACCCTGGGTGCACAGGTTCAAATCTCACCACAGCAGCTGGTGGAACTTAAATTCAGTAATGCTAGTCTCAATAATGGTGACCATGAAACTACTGTCGATTGATGTAAAAACCCATCTGGCTCAGTGATATCCTTTAGGGAGGGAAATGTGCCATCCTTACCTTGTCTGGCCTCTATGGGATTCCAGACACACAGCAACGTGGTTGACTCTTAACTGCCCTCAGAAACAGCGCAGCAAACCACTCGGTTCAAGGCCAACTAGGGGTGGATGACAAACATTGGCAATACGAGTATCACACACATCTCATCAAATGTTTCTTTTGATGCCTCAAGCCCGCTTTGCCATTCAGTGACCTTTTGCCTGGTTTTCTGTCCAAATTCAACATTCCAGCCCTATCCCTTTGTATAACCAAAATTCCACCAATCCCAATCTTCAGTATCCTCATTTGGAACATCCACAACTGTCTGAGCTACAGAATTCCAATTCTACTCTGGGCAAGTAAATTTCTCAACCCAGTCTAAAATGAAGGATTTCTTTTTATCCCAAGACCATGAAACCATTGCTCCATAACCCCAATCTCTCAGTAAACGTTTCTGTCTTTAGCCAGTATTCCCTCAGTTATTTGGAGGGCTGGCTGAATTCTCCATGGTCTTGAATGTTACAAAGTGTACGTTTGTACCAAACACTAAAGCAACGTTTCTCAAGTTACACCTTGTCCTCATATTTATGTCACATTGAAAACAATTTGTTCTTCTTTCCTCTCCTATGTACTATCTCGTAAGGTTTTGCTGCAATGATTCGACATACTGGGAGGCTGGATTTCAGAAGAATTCCAATTCTTGCCATCTTTAATGGGGGCATGGAACAGAAAGATATATTAAGAGTCTGTCTTCAAACTGGCAGCAAAATAAGCAAAAGATGGTGCCCATATCTAACTCTCTTAAGAAGGCAATGATGAGCCAGCTTCTTGAATATAAGTGAATGGTTTGCTTGGCTGTTCTAGGGGGCAGTTAAAAGTCCATCATGTTGCTGTGGCTCTGGAGTTGTATGCAATCAGATAAGGCCAGATGTCCTACCTGAAAGCAAGTACCTCAATGTCTTAGAAAATCAAAGAAAATAAAAGGTACCCCATCGTATCACTTAGGGTGAAGGGCAAGGCTGGATGACTAGAGAGATTGAGGTTTTGGTCAAGAAAAAGAAGGAAGCATATGTCAGGCATCGACAGCAGTGATCAAATGAATCCCTAGAAGAGTATAAAGGCAGTAGGAGTATACTTAAGAGGGAAATCAGGAGGGCAAAAAAGAAACATGATAAAGCTTTGGCAAATAGGGTTAAGGAGAATCCAAAGGGATTCTACAAATAAATTAAGGACAAATGGGTAACTAGGGAGAGAATAGGGCCTCTTAAAGATCAGCAAGGCCACCTATGTGTGGAACTGCTGGAGATGGGGGGGTGGGGGGAGATACTAAATGTGTATTTTGCATCAGTGTTTATTATGGAGAAGAATACGGAAGATAGAGAACATGGGGAAATAAATAGCGACATCTTGAAAAAAACGTCCATATTAGAGAAGAGATGGTGCTGAATGTCTTAAAACACATAAAAGTGGATAAATCCCCATGGCCTGATCAGGTGTACCTTAGAACGCTATGGGAGGCAATTGATGGGTCCCTTACTAAGATATTGGTATCATCGGTAGCCATAGGTGAGGTGCCTGAAGACTGGAGGTTGGCTAATGTAGTGCCACTATTGAAGAAAGGTGGTAAAGAAAAGTCAGGGAGCTATAGACCGGTGAGCCTGACATTGGTGTGGGCAAGTTGTTGGAGGGAATTCTGAGGGACAGGATTTATATGTATATGGAAAGGCAAGGAATGATTAGGGATAGTCAACATGGCTTTGCACGTGGGAAATCATCTCTCACAAACTTGTTTTTTGAAGAAGTAATGGAGAGGATTGATGAGCGCAGAGCAGTGGATGTGATCTATATGGACTTCAGTAAGGCATTCAACAATGTTCCTCATGGTAGACTGGATAGCAACGTTAGATCACACGGAGTACAGGGAGAACTCGCCATTTAAACACAGAACTGGATTGAAGATAGAAGAAGGTGGTGTTGGAGGGTTGCTTTTCAGACTGGAGGCCTGTGACCAGCAGTGTGCCACAAAGATCAATACTGGGTCCACTATTTTTTGTCGTTTATATAAATGATTTGGATGTGAACTTAGGAGGTATGATTAGTAAGTTTTGCAGACGACACCAAAATTGGTGGTGTAGTGGACAACAAAGAAGTTACCTCAGTAATTCAATACCTTGATCAGAGGGGCCAATGCGTCAAGGAGTGGCAGATGGAGTTTAGATAAATACGGGGTGCTGCATTGTGGAAAGGCAAATCAGGGCAGGACTTATAGACTTCAGGGTAAGGTCCCCAGTGTGTTGCTGAACAAAGAG